TATTTTGTTGATGATCAAACTTCTATCATTCTGGTTAGCGAGTGGATATTTTGAAAAGTCAACTGACGCAAAAGTAGCTTACGTGAATCCTGAAAGTAAATTAACTTATGATATTCGGGAACAAACTCTTTTTTCTTCGTCTGCAATTCAGGGGAGACGTTTAGGGTTAGGGTTAAGACAGTCAGTGAAAATGTCCCTGCGTATGTGTAACTCAGTAGATCCGTCTGCGGATACGGCAACATTTGAGGGCTCCGTTTGGAAAGATTGAAGTCAAAGTGATAAAACATTTGTTTGGAGTACGTCTGATTGACACGTCGTGCCACCTAGATACTTTGCCGTGGTACACTGTGTCTCAGTCTCTAATGCCTTTCAACATCTTCACATGACCAAAAATGTGGCAATAAGCTCAAATAAATCTGAACTCTGCATTCAGGAGAAATACACTCAAACATCACTCTTCTCGTGGTCCTGTACAAACTAAACGCTATATTCCGCTTTGCACCCTATTTTTCTCTGTTGGCATAATTTTCTTCCTTGCGTATTGTGATAGTCATTTGCAACCCCATCTTATTGCAATCTCTGATGAGTATTAGGCTAGAGGTGACAGATAATTCTCTTGATGTTTATCACACCATATTTTGAATTACATCAAATCCCCACCAAACACATGCCGTGTATGCCAATATCCAATATTGATAGTGCGAGCGTAGAAAACTGGTAGTTTTTGATCTCTCGCGTCTAGTTCTTAGGGCTTGGTTCCAGTTGTTCGGTTTACTCCTGCAGTGGACGAGGAAATCCCTCTGCTTTCTTGCTTTTAGCTTCGGTGAGGTGGATGTTTTGTGGGTTAGTAGGTTGTAATTTGTAGAGTGATTAGGGAGCTACGGGTTGCTGGGAAGTTTAGAGAACTGCCATGACTCCTGTCTGTGTAGGTACCTGAAAGAGAATAGTAAGGTAGTGGTAAAGGAATGAAGAGAGAATAAAGAAGAGAGTGAAGTAGCACCATAGAGACTCTGGGAGCTGGGTTAAGGCCGTATCGCTAACCATCCTTGCCTTTAAACAGGAGTTTACGTAGATAGCCACTCCCCCTCCTGCTCTATGTTCCCTGTCCCTGCGGAAGAGTTCCATGCCAGCAACACGCATCTCTTCGTCGGAGATGTCCGATGAGAGCCAGGATTCGGTGATGAATATGATGTCGTAGTGCTGATGTTCACGCAGCGTCCTCATTTTGCTACCTTCCCTATTAGCCCCCTAACGTTGCTGTACATACATATTAGAGTGTGCCTGATGAGAGGGGAGGTCTGGATGTGTATTTTCGAGGGATGAGCGCTTACGTGGTTGATTTAGCCTCGCCAGTCCTCATAGGACTGGCATTGTTCCGTTTTTTGTGTTTTGTTCTTAACTTGGGTGGGGGCTGTAGCAGTGGTGGCTTCTTTACTTGATGTATCTAACTCACTGGTCAGCGCCTGTGTGACGACCACTGACTCCAGAGGTCTTGGTGGTTGCCGTCTCTCCTCTTGCCTTGTGGGTCTAGGCTTACTTTCACATATACGTATTGAGCCACCCATGCGATCTTTCGCATTATACCATGCGTGCAGAACGTCTGTGAGGGAGGCATATGAGTCGAACTGGACGGCAAGTAGTCTGGGATTGGGTATGGTCTTCAGGTGCGCTGGCCTTGGCAGTCTACTGACGCTGTTGGCCGGTATACTGTTGAGACCAACTTTGGTTGAGAGCCATTGCCATTGTTGGACGTCGTGAAAGTACCGATCTTTGACCGAGCTGTCACTTGGCAATTCTGGAATCCCATGTACAACTATAGTGTTGTTTCTGTTGGGATTTCCAACCGCTGACTTTCTCTCCTCCTCTCTTATTGACCATGGCTTGTCAGGCCTGGCCCGAATTTTACAGGCATTAACAACGTCCGGTTGTCGCGAGAGAGGAGTGTGTCTTCAGCCTCTTTGGCGGTATTTAGGGACACACGTAAAGGGGGTGGCTTATCTCGGGGTGCATGGCTTCCTCGAGAAAGGCGACATAAAGTTGCAGGGAGGGGAGGGAGTCCCAGCATCTGACAGTAGTCGGTCCACATTCGGCTGTCAAATTGTTCCCTCTCGACCAACAATGAGTCTGTCGATACATCGACGTTGAACAAAATGATCGAGTTGGTCCTCCTGTGACCTGGGTTCGTTGTGGGTGGCACGCCCGACTTCCCAATGGGTTTGAGTAATTCCACTGGTTGTTTCTCAGTCACGGTGTGTGGGGTGTTCGGAATGGGTTTCGTAGAGGCTTCGGCGGTCGATGTCTTTGGCCATGCGCTTGACGTCCCCTGGGGCCGGGTAGGGGTATGGAGACTTGACCTAATATGGTCCCCACGCGAGGTGGCGTGCCCACAGCTGGAGCTCTAGGTCTGTTTCCAGGTCTCTCTGTGTTATCCTTTGGTGTTAACCCTACTTTATTCGAGGATGCTGGTAGCTTTTGCGTGGCGGAGAGCATCTCCTTCAGGCTTTCTGTGCGGAGTGCGGGCATTTTCCTGCACTCTGGACAGATGTACCAGAACCACTTGCATGGTTGTCTCTTCATCAGCTTATAGTATTGTCGGGGGACTTTGGTATCGCAGTGGCAATGCGCCCATCGTTGACATAGGTTGCATGCAAATGCCTCATCGACTACCGAAACAACTTTGGTGCAAACACTGCAGCCATCGGGTGTCGTAATACAGCCTTCCTTCCATGAATAAGGTGCTACGGATTGTGGCGAACTGCTTGTGGCTGCCTTGTTCTGAAGCCTTTTACGTCGTCTTCTATTTCAGGCATGGTATGATCCTTGCTCAAGATAGGACTAGTTTGTGACGGGCTAGTGCTACTCTGTGTCACCTGTCTGATGGCGACTGGAATTCTAGAAACATGGGTTGGCCACTTCTTTAGAAGTTCGGTGTTCTGCCCTACCTCTGTTTGTCTTCTAGTACAGACTAGTGTGTTGTTTAGGGTGTTACTGGCCGTTTTTGTGCACGACCGCGTTATCCGTGTCAAAGCTTCAGACCTAGCGTTTTGGGCAGACATGTCGCTATGATATAAACTTCTTGGGAAAACAAGTAGTTAACAACAATAAGAGGGTTGAAGACTGAATGCAGCAAAAGGACAGAATAGAAAAGGGAAGATAATTTATGTTGGCTCACCTTCAGACACTTGTCACTTGATCCTCTGCTCTTGACCAACGAGTTTAACCGTAAGCTCCAGATGCGTATGTATAACCAGGAAAGATATTTCCTGGGGAATGACCTCCGAGGAGAACCGAGAGCTAAGGCAGTTTGGCAGCTGAAACGCCCAAGAACCACTGACAGGAGGTAGACCGGTTGGTTCAAAGGAATAATAATGCCAATTTTCAACTGTTGAGGAGTGAGCTGACGAATGCGCAGGGGTGAGGTGCGTGGACGGACAGAAGTGCTGCAAACGTTCGATGTTTTTAGATTGAGTATTGCAAGTGGGAGTTTTTCATTGTGGAAAAATCCAAAAGCTGAGAGACGAGCGAAACACCTCACTACTCAAGGAGCGCGCCAACCTTGAATCATGCTACCACTTTATCTTCCTGTGGTTTCTCTGGGTTGACTGGTTGGCTAGTTGTTCTGTTCTTAACCTTGGTTTAGGTTTCCTGTTTAGTCCTATGATTAGCGGACTGAGGGAAACGCCAAACATTGGTCGCGACTATTATTATTCCTTGGATTGCAACGTGCTAATCGATCTTACAGCTAATAACAGAGTAACATTGATGACCACCCTAACAAGTGTTGAAATGATAAAAAAAATCAGATTTCAGTATACCGACTAGAAAGGTAGTTTTTCATCAAATATAGAAATGTGTTTAGCCATCTCAGCAGGTGTTTTGCTCGTTTTCAATGTCCTCCTACTAACGTCACGGCAGCTGATTCAGGGACAAGAAGAAGTCACACTGTGAGCCTACAAAATGCACGATCATTTGTACTTAGAAAAATTTATGGAAAGTGTACAAAGCCTAAAACATGTATGTGGTTTAATCAGAATATCAATGAGTGAGGAAAAACGGGACTTATGAAGGACATTAGAAATGAATTGGTTGCAGCTCTCATTCTCTCTGACTGTGGATACAACAATCCCCTACACTCTATATTCCCATGAATATTTATCATACACAGCTTGATAACGCCTACTATCACGTTCAGTTCCTCATCACTCCTAATATGATGTAACTTCTAAAGATCACCCTAATAACAACTGAAATGATCGATCAGATCTCTATATTTGCCCTAAAAAGACAGATTTTTACAAAGTAGCGAGGTCTAGTTGATTACTTGCGTTGTCGTTAGGATGACCCTCACAGTTATTTCTTGATATATGTATCTAAATTGATCCGCTTATAATCTGGAACCGACGTTACTGTTTGTAAAATTTATTTACCACCAAGTTTCCTATCACTAAGACGCATACAGAGATTTCAGAATTGGAAGACCTCATGATCATCGAGAATCCATTGCAAAAAATATTCCACGTTCACACTGACTATTGATGCTTCCACCTATGACTTGCTGTTGAGGAAGTATAAGACACCAGCACGTTGATTCTGACGCTTTATTTTCCTGCCTGAGCAGTAGATCTCCACACTGATTATTTCAGATTGATGGAGGCCAGTATTGCTGTCTTTCCTATCCTGGCTTTGACGTCTTCATCTGTGTCGCCACCTGTAGTTGGAACGATGCTGCTTAGGTGGTAGGTAAAAGAGACAACCAGCTTTAGATTTCTCCTGTTGATGGTGCTTCTTGTTGTTGTTGTTGTTGGTTGGGTATCTTCATCGCCTCTATCTTCTCTACGTTCAGCAGAAGTAAACTAACTGTAAATCATTCTTTTTTTATTACCCAGCCGGAAACCTGGTGTTCGCTGGTTAGAATCCTTCAATCACCGCTCAGTAACAATACAAGTCTACCAAATCACGGTTATCTCAGATAGTCAAAATGATAATGATATAACTATTCACTAAACAGAGCCCATCACTAACCGCGTACATGTGCTTAAAACAGTTAAACTCACCACTGGGAAATACGGACAGTGTACAACATGTGTAGAGTGTGTTTTTGAATTCATCATACTTGAGGATTTACACAATGGTTTAACAGGTGTTCTACTTGAAGACAAAGATTTATCTGTGTTTACTGATGAGACAGTAGGAGGTGATTCAGCAGAACCATCTACTACTGTCATGCCTGCTGTTTCCACTTTTGTTTCATCTGATCCACAATTCACATTTTCAATAATAGGAAGTGAGTGAATAGATCCAATCTTGTCATTCGTATGAAGCTTTGGTTGACAAGATGAATCAGTAGGATTGATATGATTCGGTAATTCTGGAAGAATAAAAAAGATTACAAAATACAGTAAATATCTGTAGAAGAATATCGCTCTTTTCAGCCGAGCAATATGAACAGTAACAAATAAACAGGATATAGTTGCGTTTATTGGTTGAGTTAATTTCATCAACTGAGCAAATTTCGTTGGTGACGCTCTTTGAGATAGGTCTCCCGAAGTTCTGATGAGAAACTGTGACCAGTGGAGCAAATCAAGTTGAACGTGAGAACAAATACTCAACGGTGGCATTGGATGAAGGTTGCACTAAATTACGAAATTATGAACGAGTAGATTCCAACTCACAAGTTCAGTGGTGACATGCTCGCCAAGAAATCCGGAGGTCTTGGATTTGATCCCTGGTAGAGTCGTGAGTACACAAGGCAGCGGAGCCACATACTAGGATGAAACAGCTGTCAAGTGCTTCCAGGTCTTCAATGGTCCTCCAGTCCATGATAAACAGCGTCTTAAATAGGAACTCCAAAAATAATTTGGATTGTCAGATGCTGCTCTGGACGAGATAGTTCCCACTAAAACCTAGAATGATCGCACTACATCTTTTATCAATTCTTATCGAAGTTGTGATGTCTGCTATGAAATGTCGATTCTGTGGTCTATCAGAACACGTAATATCTTTAAGAATAAGTCTTTTCATTCAATATTAGAAGAAACGTAATCTACTCCAGTTTCCAAAAGTAATCGGAGAAGAGACATGAGAAGGAAAATCCCAATGCATCTTCCTTTGGATGTGCCGACTTTTTTTGTTGCCGTACGTTCATCTGAAGGAACTCCCGTCCTCGTTGCCTCACCTCTTCTGCCAGCCTGTTAGTTTTTGCGTGTAGATCTTTGAGTTTGCGCAACTTTAGACACAAATTATCACCGGGGAAATCCAAATCCTCCTCTGTTGTCTTTTCATCTGTCCACCTGGCATATGTCTCTCTTCTCACTCCTCACAGCTTGTTGCATGGTCCATTCGACCACAATCAGGAATATCATGGGTGATAGCAGACAACCTTGTTTCACTCCTGTCTTCACTTCAAAAGCATCACTGAGCCTCCTATTGTGAATTACTTAGCATGTTGAGTCTTCATATAGTCGTTGGATGAGGTTGGTAAAAGTTTGTGGTATTCCGTAGTGTTGGAGCAGTTTCCAAATTACTTCTCGGTCAACGCTGTCAAAGGCCTTTTCAAAGTAGATGAAGCTGAGGTGAGGTGGTGAGTTGACTGCCATTCCATGCTTTTTTATATGATGCGTAGCGTAGCGTTGCAATTTGATCCGCACATGATTTGTACTTCCTGAAGCCAATGGGCCTCTTTTGGTCTTTCCAGGATAATGCGTCCTAATATTTTGCGTGTTACGGATAGAAGCATCATTTCCCGCTAGTTCGTGCAAAGACTTAGATCGCCCCTCTTTGAGAGTTTGACCAGGTAGGCCTTCTTCCAATCAGTCATCAAATACCTTCTCTTGCTTCTTCCTAAAACTTGTGCAACAGTGTGAGCGTGTCCGCTACTGTTGTTTTTGCTTCTGTTTTCAGTACTTCTGGAGGAATTCCGCCTGGTCCTGCTGCTCTCCTGGCTTTCAGGAATTCACTTCTGTTTTTGTCGAAGGACTTGTGATCACTTGTAATTCTGTGGCTGGGCAGCTGGTGGTATTACTGGGCGATCTGCATGTAGTGATGGTGGTCACTCCGAGGGTTCTTTGAACTCGGTCGGCCCATCCCTTTCTTTGTTTCTCCTCTTTGGTAACCAGGTTTCCCTCTCCATCTCTCACTGGTCTCATCTGTGTTGATCTCTTCCGAGATAGCAACCTGGTTGCTTGATATGTTGTCAGGTCTCTCCTACCCGCAGCCTGTTCTGCTTCACTTGCCAGTGTGTCATAGAAGTGCCTTTTGTCTTCGCGTGCACTCCTCTTCACTTCTTTGACCAGTGTTTTATAGGTTGTGCCTAGTTCTTCTTTTCGTTGTTCATCCTTGAAGTGGTTCATCACCTGCTTCACCACCTTCCGCCCCCCCCTTTCAGCTTACATGTGTCCGTTGAGATCCATTCCTTGTCTTCTTTCCTCCTCCTTCCTAGTACGGTTATGCAGTTTTCTCTCCGCATCCCTGTCAAAGAGTTCCAGTGTTCTCCCACTCTTGTTTCTTCAGGGGCGTTGCCTAACGTGTCCCATTTTGTTTGATGGTTGGCGTGGAGATGTCGCTTGTAGTTTTGTCCTTCAGCCTCTGTTCTGGGTGTTGAACTCGAACTTTGGTCTATCACCAGCTTCTCTGACGGATTCCAACCTGATTTTGGAAGTTCTTTTCACCAGATAGTGGGTAGTTTGAACCTGCATCTGCTCCCCTTCATCTCGTGTCCAGTAGGCTGCATCTCCACTTTCTTCACATTGAGGTGAGGTCGATCTGATTTTTAGTATGGTGTTTCCATCTAACGAAATCAAATCCATGTCACTTTGTGAATATCCTTGCGTTTTCACACACTACTCCCAATCACCAAATCGTTGAATGCGCAGAATTCTGCAAACAGTTCTCCACTCTCGTTCATTTCACCGTGCACTTCTCGACCCATGGTGAGTTCTTCTCCTGTGTTGTTCGCTCCTATTTTTGCATTCATGTCACCCCGCCCATTAGAGTTTTGATGTCACTATCGCCACCTTGGGTAGAGTCTTGTCCAGCAGTGGTAGCAGCTGTCCCTAGTATTCCTTCTTCTTCTCTTGATCTGCATTATTTGTAGGGGGCACAGCGTGGCATTGTCTGATTGTAACTTTCCTTCTTTTTGATTGGAATCTTGCTGTCATGATCTTGCGTGAGTAGATTGATTCACACTGCATGAGGAGGAGCCTCCGATACTGTTGGGGACATCATGATGACCATTCGAAAACTCAGCGTGCCGTGCCCGTGTTTGTTGTCTGGGTGACAATATTGGAGTAGATTACTGAGTTGACAGTTAGAACAGTCCACTTCCATTCCATCCACTTCCTCAGATTCCCAGCAATTTCTATGCTATACCTTCTCGTCTTCTTCTCAATCCAGTCAGCCTTACTAGATTCAAACATAGTGCGGACATTCCGTGTCTGCATGTTTACTTTTGCTTTCATGGTGAGAAGACACATCGGCCAGTTGGCTCCTGAAGACTTTCACCAACTGGCATCATTTCGTCCCTCCAACTCCAGCAGGGAGTAAGTTTTTATATTTTGCACTTTGTGCTTTGAAGTTTCTTCAGCTGTTGGATTGGTGTCCCGGGATATGGTCGCTAGCTGTGTGCCCAACCTTCCCTCTTTGTCTGGGCTGAGGACCGGCCAGTAGACAGTGAACTTGTACGGTTTCTCACCAGTAATTCTACTTGCCAAAACATCTAGGAACGGCAGTTGGTTGTTTGACTTCTTTTTTATTGTGAACTGGACGTCGTTGAAAACTTTGTTGATCAAACTGCAAATGTTTTCTAAACCATCTCTTCTAAAAAAAAGTAATGTCCACACATCGGATCCAAATTTTAGGTTTGATTACTGCTAAAATGATGGCTTTCATTCTCCGCATCACCTCTTCTGCAACTAATCCATATATCAGTGATACCAGTGGATTTCTTCCCCCCAGTTTAGCCGAGAAATGGCCATAAGGAAAATCTATGTAGTTAATGAAACTACGAATGACCGAAACAACCAGTCACCAACAACTTCGTCAGAGAAGGCTACCGAATCGCTCACGGAGAAATATTGTTAACTCAATTCATACTGATGTTAGTGCTGATGATGTTGTCTGAAAAGACAATGAAAGCTTCACGATTAAACTCGGAGAGCATGACAGAACCAAGACCATCGGCGTGGGCCACAAATTTCCCCACCGTAAAATGAAGAGCTGGAGGACGCATATGACGCGTAGAAAACAAGCCAGGAAGACCAAATTACAGTTTGTGAATAATAAAAGGCAACATATTTAAGTTTTAACAACTTAAACAAAGGCGATTCTGAGGAAGCGCTAACTAACAGTGCTCATAAGGCAACAAAATCAAATGCGCGTGAATAATGTTGCCCATAAATAACGAGCAGGATAAACTGGAAACATAAAAATATACCCATTCAGCCTCGAGATAGAAGGAAAATTAGGCTAATTGTACAAGCATTAAACATGAACCACTTTTTGTTTGAAAGGCCATTAATTTCTGTTTGGTTACATTAAACTATTCTACGGTGGTTGGTGCTAATTATTATTTCCTTTCGCCTTACACACAGTTGTTTCTGTCACCTTCACTGGCATTTTGTGTAGTGGTTCTACATATTATTTCAAAACGTGCATCACTAAAACTTTATGTTCGTTTGAATGTTAAAAGCAGTATTTGTTTTTTATAGTCCATTTCCTAGCTTCAAAAACATCTACATCCGTTTGATTTCATGGAAATAGGAAAGCAGCCAGCCAGACGTCCGAACTCGGTATTTGCCACGGCTAGCTTATCCAGCAAAGGAGGTCTTGTGACGAAATCAGCTACTGAAATGCACTCTTAAAAGGCACACTTGATATACTGTGTTTCTGTCAGTTATAAGCAGTACTGTAATATAAGAGAGTGGTGGGATCCAGAGTGCTTTTTTTGCATCCAAATTGATTGAGATCTTCCAAGGTTTCATATACAAATTCCAGCAGAGGTATTATCAGCCTCTCCATTATTTTCAGGAGTGGGGAAGCAGCCACAACTTGGCGGAATTTCAGACATATCCCTGGAGAACAGGGGTTATCTTAATGTCTTACCGGGCAATCAGTATGGTGTTTTCCGAAGACAATTTATTAGGCATATTAGTTGATGGTTGACATGATACATCAGCACATTTCGTGAATATGAAAACTGATATGCTGTCCAGAGCCAAGCTATGTGAAGGGTTGAAGGAGTTGGGACATTTGAAACCATCTTTCCTGGTGAACTCTGGACAACAGTCTTTATTGGAACCGGGTGAAAAAGGAAGAATGCGATAGATGGGTTAGTACACGCATTACTTGTCTAAGGTGTGGAAATCCATACATTCCTCTTAACTGAAGTGTAAACCACCGGAGGGGTCTTTAAATAGATTCCATATGCTGGATTGACCACTTGATTTTTGTGGTGTGTAGTGCGTGTGTCAAGGGAAACTGTGACAAAATTACTACCTTCCGCAGAACGAACAAAATGTTTGACGGAGGCATAAACAGCAAAGGTTTCGCAACCAAAAATGCTGTGCCGCCGTTCGCATGTGGATAACTCCCAGAAGAAGATTGCAAGAGGAATTCAAGTGTCATACATAACCTGATGCAGTGCAGCCTCAATAAGCATGTCAGAAGCATCAACAGCGATGCCGAGATGAAGGGTCTGTCTTGATGAACCAACGTTGTCACCACTGTTATCATGTTTTCGATCTTGTGAAGTGCTTGTAGCTCCGTTGGAGTCATATTAAGAGTTTTGCGGATACATTTAGCCAGGTTAGGTGGTGCATTCGAAATGTGGGTACACTGAAGACGAGACGGCCAATAACTCACCACAACGATGAAGTTACGCACCACTTTAGTAGATGTCAGCAGTGGACAAACTTGAGTGGCCTTCGTCCTTCCAGGTAATACGCGAATACCACCCCTGCCAATCGCATGACCAGGGCAGATTAGTGAATCGATACCAAGCTGGCACTTAGCTGGATTGAGTGAAAATGAAAGTTGACCAAGGCATGCAATGGCAGTTCGACCCGCAGTCCCAATGAGGATAGCTTCCAGGTGGGGGAGATCCAAGCCGCACAAGACGTCATGGATCAGGCTCTGAAAAGTCTATCCAGCCTTCTGTTGTCTGAAATGCATGCAGGTCGAACGGCGTAGTGACTGTCGTCTTCGAAGCATCTACTGGATGAACTGGTATTTGATGACAAGTACGAGTCAGATTAAGTTTGCAGAAGACAGTCGTACCTTTCTGAGTAGCAATCAACTCATGGATACGAGGCACTGGGTGACGGTGCGAAATGGTTTTAGTGTTGACTTGTCGGTATCCAACACTAAGCCGCTAGTCCGCACCACTTTTTTCCGGGCTACATTCAGGGGAGAAGATCATAGGCCACTAGAAAGTCTAGCGACACCCCCTTCCGGGACATGGTGGAAATCAGCCTTGACGGCTTGCAGTTTATTTGGAGGGAAACGTCGCGGTTTGACGAAACTAGTGTACCCGTTGACGTTATATGGTGCGAAACGGTAGAAATTGCGCAAGACAATAGATGATGGCGTAAAATATCAGGAAGTGACAGGGTAATGGAAGTGAAGCATGCTTGGGTTGGAATATACCGGGTTGACAAAAAATGTAGTAGTGACAACACCAGAAAAAGGTGTTGTAGTAGAATCGATCAACCTATGCCTAGGTGCACCTACCAGCAACTTGTAGTGTTGTGAGAGATCCAGTCTGGTTATACCAGTGACTACATCAGCGATAGTGAAAGCCTAGCGAAACGAATGGCGTGAATCAAGGTTAGTATTGTTAGGCATAAGGCTGGCAGTGAACATTGGAAGGGATGTCGGTCACAGTCACTCCGAAATGGTTAGTGAGATTACAGGAAGCGTCTTCCCAAACGATGCCCGATTATGTTAAAGAAGCAGTGGGTTAAGGATGCGCCAGCAACATTAGTCATGACTGCGTGCTGAAGCTCCTTACGCTTACCAGATGCCGTAGTGGGAAGCATATGGTTCAGTGCCCTTTCTCGCACTGGTGCCATGTCTTCCGTGATATCAAAGAGCCCCAGCTTACGCGTTTCTCGATTGTGGTCCAACCCAAAGACTTTCAGTGGTGGATCTCGACCGTGGCTGGGAATACGTACGGGTGTTTCTGGCGGAAGCTACCCTACAGCTTCGGTACGAAGTCGAGGATGTCACAAGAGGATAAAATAGAGGGCCTCTCCCTTTAGACGGTCGGTTACCGCAGGATATGTGGCTACTCGATAATAGCTCACAAGATACCAAGCTGTCCTAATCACCGGCTGTGAAGAATGGTGCCCGAAGGTCACCATGATGAAACCCGTGAAAACCCAGAGAAATTGGGATGCATTTAAGTTCTTTTCCACCCAAAGTCTGTGGCCACTGGGATGTAATAATTGCCGAGGTAACCGCCGCTGCATCTGTTTATGACTTCAAGAAGGGTATGGGCAGCAACGCAGCAACATAGGGCTTGCGATCGTTTAATTGAACCGAAGCAACTGACTGACATCGCGCCGATCTAACACTATTGCCTTCGCACTGATTACCTACTACTGGCAACACTTATGTCCGTTTGATCCGATCCTTTACATATTCATTAGGTGCCTCATCCCTCTAGTTACCATCTCATTATTAGTATCTTTGCCATTTCGATTTCCATCACTCATACCTTAATTTTCCTCGTTCCTTCCCCTCTCTCTTACTCTCTTTGATATAATACCACTCATTCGGGATCCGCATATCACTGCTTTCTCTCCATCCTCCCCTGAATCTACCCACATTTTTCATTCCAAGCCTATCCCTCTTTTTACCCCTTATTTTTCTCTTTTGTTTTCACTGGTTATCCTTTGAATCTGCTAATCTTCCTTATAAGAATGGTTCGAATAACTGTCTATAGACATGACACCTAAAGAGCTCATCTTCACTGCAGTTTTTGGACGGATCACACACTCCTCTACAAATTTAACCAGCATCCAAACCTCTAGTTGTTACGCCATATCTGCAGTTGGGGCGAGGATGAATCTACGGTATCAGAATCCACTAAAGACCTGGAACCATTCCGCAAGACCTAGAAGCAAGAGGGAGGAAATTGCATAATTTATAAAATATGCTAAAGCAGCTGCTGAAAACTGGATAATAAAAAATATGCTAAGGCTACAATATGTTCACCAGTGAAATCTTGGTTTCAAGCTCCCCGATTCCTTATCAGCAACAGGGGCCACGTAGGGAGTAAAGTAAAAAGGAATAAACGAACTGCAGTATGAAATGAAGAGTTCGAAGTGTAGATTCTTAGAAGTGAAGAATGGTGGACGCTACTGATATTGAACATCCTTTTTTTTTTTATTTATTTATTTTTTATTTTTTATTTTATTTTATTTTATTTTATTTTTTTTTTATTATTTTATTTTATTTCATTTATTTATTTATTTATTTATTTATTTTTTTTAACTCTTCCTTTCTTCTCTCTTCATTCCTTTACCACTACCTTAATATTCTCTTTCAGGTACCTACACAGACAGGAGTCACGGTTGTTCTCTAAACTTCCCAGCAGCCCGTAGCTCCCTAATCACTCTACAAATTACAACCTACTAACCCACAAAACATCCACCTCACCGAAGCTAAAAGCAAGAAAGCAGAGGGTATTTCCTCGTCCACTGCAGGAGTGAACCGAACAACTGGAACCAAGCCCTAAGAACTAGACGCGAGAGATCAAAAACTACTAGTTTTCTACGCTCGCACTATCAATATTGGATATTGGATCCTTTGTTTGGTAAGGTCGCAATTAGGTGTAACACTTTTTATTAAGGTTGGTCAGCGAGATTTGATGGCGGCTACCTACGGCATACTTTTTCGCGTATTGGCTTTGACGTTCTTCATATATATATTTTACTACAGTCATAACGTGATCAATGGTGGTAGAACATTTTCCCTCAAGGATTTTTCATTACTGCTACGCTTCCTTACAATCCTGACAATAGTATATAACTACAATACTGAAACTTATTATCCCAGTTGTTGCAGATAGTCTATTATGCCTTCGCAACTCCTTTACAGTACTGTAATATGCACAAAACGCACAGTGCTATGTACGCCCTGGTGTTTACAGCCGATCTAGTAAGTGGATGCTAATTGTCATCTTTCAGATTGTATGCATTTTGTTCTGGGGTATTTTCATGGTGGATAAAGGTTTGTTAGCTAACGAATCAGAGTTAAAAGCACTTCCGTCATGGTACAATCACTCCTCTGTAAGTATGACCACCTAAATCTTTATTCATTAGCACACTGTTGGTATAGTGGCTATCATCATAGACGCTCTACTGTGGAAGCCGGCAAGCCTACCTATATCAAGTTCAATTCTGTTGATTGTAACGTATTTTGGCGGTTATGTACTATAGTAAGTCCCAGAAAGATTTTATACTTTTAATTTCTCCGAATATAAGGGACGAGTCTTCTCGGATTACGTACCTAACTTTCCGACTTTTGATAAAGTACCCTACCTTGAACCATAATTCAGTCTTCAGTAGTAGGGATATTAGGTCAAGTTAGTCTTAGATGTAGGTTTCTTTGTGAAGGTCCGTTTTCTCCTTGAATGCGTCCACCGAATGAGCTAATACCACTTGCTCGGGTAGATGACTTGTCGTTGACCAGTGCATGAAAAGCGTAGATTTACGCTGTTGATTCTTCTTCTGCTATTGAATTCTTTTATGGTGGCATCAGAATCGCTTCATCTTTGAGGGGATGAAGAAATAAGATATCAGTCTTAAGGTCACTGTTACGGATACGGAATGCTGATAATACGTCTCCCCTTCTAGTGAGACAATAAGCAAGGATTTGGTCTGTAGACAATCATTGCAGGATAGGTTAGATAGACCATCCGCCGAATCGATGTTGAATCTGCAAACGTACTTCAGTGCCTCAGCAAAGACTGGAGACTTGAATGCGAAATTTGAGATAGGGTCTTACAATAGTGGTATATAATACTCGAAACATGTTTTCGTCAAATTATTTGAACGCTGTTGAGATAAACTAGACCACCTCAGAGCTCTTTAGTGCGATCACAACGCAATATGCAGGCGATTTCAAGTTATGATTGACTATTACTTTAACTTATAGAAAGTCCCATGTATTAACTACTGATGACAGCTGCTACAACCAATGTCTTTAACTGCTCATTTGCTAGAATTAGTTTCTAAACACGAACACTTAAACCACTTGGCTTTTTGAAAATATCAAGAAGTGAGTACACCTTCGCCATTGTAACAGGTTCTCAGTCATATTGCCAAAAGTTTCCAGGCATGGATTCCTATTACCCCGAGGATGCCACCTAGATAGTCTGAATGGTACACTGCTCAGAAAAACAGTTGAAGACTTTATGAAGTAGCGTAATATCTTCATCTAGTCACGTTAAGTCTTCTTCCAACCCAATTCGTTACCACTCCAGATGACAGCTCTGAAAAACCCTTTACATGGCTGTTTGACTTCACATAGAGAGTTCAATAACGTTACAAACTTGCTCCTTAATTCCACAGTCAGAAATTGCTACCACACCTCTTGATCAACAAAGTCAAATGTCACCTTCAGGTCAGTAGACATGGTAAGTGTTAACCACTAATGTCTTTATTCCAAGATCTGTCGAACGGTGAGAATGTGGTCGGTGCACCCTTGTGCAGTTTTGAAACCTGCCTGGTTTTCTGGAATTTCTTGTTCTGAAGCCTGTTACTCATCGTATAACTACGAACTCTAGGATCTTGTAAACTTAGCCGAACTCATTCTCCTAAGGTTGTCACAATGAGACTTCTCTCCTTTCTTATAGACGGATGATTAGCAATCTCATGGAACCACTTCTAACTTCCATGCACTAATTATTACCTCCGTTGCTGAGCTCAGTGATTTTATACCTCTTGAAAAATCTAGGTGGCAAATAATCAGGTCCTATGACTACGTTTTTTCCGGTTTAAAACAGTCTTCCCAACTTCGGCGACATTTTAAAGGGCAAACATTTACTCCCCATTGAGGTTCTGGATGGATACATTGGACACCTGAATCGTAGTTTTAAGTCAGTTGAATTGTCCATGGTAGCGTTCTAGTTGTGCACCCGGAGCTCTTGATTAGTATATATTCACTATCGGGGTTGCGGTTCATTAATTTAGGGAAATGACTTTCAATCCATTGGTCACGGTTTCCAACACCCCTCCACCTACCGAGGTTTAGACAGCTAGGTAGTATCATTAGCTCTCACACAAAAGGGGTTGCTCACTGCCTACTGCACGAATGTGAAAAAGATTCCTGAGTGCATTTTAATTCGAGACACATTCTCAACAATCTTACTATCCATCATCTTGCCTGTATGCTGAATAAGCCCAATTATTCACTGAGTATGACCTTATGCTGGTAGCTTCTCCATCTTTTGCCACCCACCACTGTTTGCATTCTTTGTGAAGACTTAGTCAGTTTACGTCTAAGCTGCTTTCACCCTATAATGGTCAGAGCGAAATTGAATGAGTTCTCGCATCAATCAGTTCGGATGAGTTTGCGAAAATCTATTTACGTTCGCTAACCCTTGGATGTAAGTTAACAACTGTCTTTACCGCTGTTGCTATAGTAGACTGAATATTACACCAGGTTTTCTCAGGATAAGTATCGCTATCTTATTCTGATAAACCCTTAACTATCTTTTACCTTAGTGGTTACTTTGCTTTCTCATCTTCCAACGAAGCACAGACGGAGTTTACTGCCGCCTGTTTTCTGCGACCTGTAAAGTGCATACATACTTCTCTATACTAACGCGTAGTCGGTGTTCAAACTCTAGACTGAGTGACGGTCCTCCACCGATCCTCCCCAACGATGGCTTATGGCAATATAATCTATCTGTACCCACCGTTGGTTTGATGTTGACCGACACAGGGTGAGACAGTATATCTTTTTTTGTCTGAAGTTCTCGTTAGAGGGAAATAGTTGGTTGTCTAGGCATACAACTGGTGACTGCCTCTGTCCTTTCGATTTATTTGGACTACCTAAGTGCCTTTCTGTCTGACTTAGCCTACCCAAGAATCCGTTGAAATCGCCTGCTAAGACAGGCATATCTGAACATCTGGCTTTCAGCAAAAGACTAAATAGTTTTCGGTAGATTTCACCTTTCACTTCATCCAAACTGTAGTCTATCAGTGTGTAAGGGGAGACAACGTCGAGTTTCACTACTCTGCAACGTTAATTCGAACAGCATACAAATGACAATCAACTGAGATCCAGTCAAGCAGCACACTTTTTACCTCAGCGCTTAGAGCTGTCCCGACAGCTTTCTGTCGAGCCTGCAGAGATTCGAAAAAGAAATTTCGTAGATTCATTATGAAGACCTGGTAACCTCAGGTAAATAATCGCACTTGAGCCCTATATGCCAGTCTCATAGGCAAAGCAAATATCCATTTTCTGAGACGCTAAAGATTTGGCAGCCAACTCTGTTAACTGGTTCGATGGACGGTGTGAACATTTAAGGGTTTCATGAGACCAGTGATGGTGTTATGTGGATGCAAAATGTTATCAAGAGCAGCTGAGTTGGAACTAAATAAAGATGGTGCAGAAATGTTGACCGAAGTACATGAAGAAAGATTGAAAGGTAACGATGTGAGAGGTTGGTAGTTACCTGAGGAAAATTGAGTGTTGAGGGCGGTCGACACTTCTCTGCCGACCACACTGTAGAAAGTTATTTCTTCTTAAGATACCTGAAAAAGAAATTGAATTATTAACAGTGGTGTGTGATCGCATAGCCCAAAGAGGATCTACCTGAGACCGGTCACACACGACCTTGCAACTTTAAGCTTCAAGCTCGTTTGTTTCGAATCTATCCACGAAACCCATACAGTGCGCACCAGAAGACCGCTGGACAATGGGTGCGTTGTTTCTTGAGCCTTCTCATCGAAAAAGTAGCATCACTATGGCACTGCTGGTTATCCACGGGAGATAACTTACTGCTATCACACCACCTAACAGTGCAACTCAGCCATCACTCTCTGAATCGCAACATAGTTATTACAGTACCACTGTGAAACAGACCTGTTTAGCATTCCAATCAGTTTAGCTCTTTGAGTCACCGTGATGTGCAAGCCTGATCAGCTTGTCAAGGTAACGGTTGTCTGTCGAGCTGAGCTTGTAATCTCCAAACTTAACAAACTTGCGTAATTAGATGCCTTATTGACGTTTCTTGAAAGTTAGTTAGTTTTGCATAGCCCTCAGTGCCAGCTACACTAAATTTTACGGATACCATGGTCGTAGAGTTGCGTGTTTACTAAAACAACCTTACTCCCATTACACTCCTATCCAGTCAAATGTATCACTTTACACTGGGATAATCATTTTAGCTCAAGTTGTCTGCAGGATTCTACAAGTTGACAACTATCCAGCCTACCCTTTTGGGACTCTAGAGAATGAAGGAACAATTTTTACAGATAGTAAATTTTGTCGCACTGCGGTATGAAGACTTAATCATCATATGAAGTTACTAGCTGAAGGTCTCTTAGTCAACCATCGAAGTGGAACCTTTCACATATGCATGACACAACACAAAAATAAAGTGAATAGATATCAAATTATATTAAAGTAAACGAAAAATATAGATTAAAATGCACTCATCAACTGTGTGAATGTTCGTGCAGTAGGCAATGAGCAAAACTTGTTTGAGGACCAATGACACTACCTGGCTGTCTAAACCTTGGTAGGTGGAAGGGTGTTGGAAGCCTTGACCCATTGGTTGAAAATCATTTATCTAAACTAATAAGGCACAGCTGCACAAAAGTATGCGAGGGGCGAAGCTACGGAGTTGAAAATGTTTAGACTTACGAAGATGGTAAGCAGCTAAAACGCATATAACGCTTTAGGTGAAGGCGATAACAATAAGCCTACCACCAACAAACGTGGAGTTAATACTTTATGTGTCGAATTTAAAGAGACAATATCGAAAAAAGGAAGTGAGTTTTTCCATGTTCTTAAATTTGGCTTTATCTGTGTAAATCACATCAAAAGCCTTAGGGTGAACTTTAGCTTCAAGTAATTCAGTTAAAGCTCGTGTTTTTCGAGTTCGTTTTCCAACATTTAATGTTTTCCACTTGTATCATTACTAGGGGTTGTGTTTTTGTATCTCAAACGTTTTTGAATTACCACTCTTAGTAACCATCCGTGTTTGGTTTGATTAAAATGTGTAACCATAAAAGTCCCTATAGTCAACCAGAATGCCGACTCCCTTTGGACTAAGGTCTGGGCAGCCAAGTAGTGTCTTAATTTTTAACTATATGTTTGGATCATTACTTCTGCTAAAAACCGCGTATACGGCTGCTTAGTGCATTTCACCTTTTTTCGCCTTGAAAACAGCTGATTATAACATCCCTCCAGTCTTTCAAGAGC